TGGGGGGGGGGGGGGGGTTAGGGGGCGTCTTGCTCAAGGATGCAGACACTTGGGGTTCGAACCCACGACCTTTGGTCTGGGAGTCAAACACTTTAACCACTCAACCTCACCACCCCAACCAGCGTCTGGTGCACACGCTCGTCTGTATCCCTCCTGAACTCTCACTAGAAACAATCAGTAGCGTACCGTGGGGTTTAAGTCAGGGCCTTCAGTAACGAACTCCACCAACGGCCAACCCCCAAACACTCAGACATGCACACAAATGGCCCTGCTGGTCTATGTAGCTGTGATGCGTTATTCAGCTGAGCTCAGCCTTACAAAAAAAAAATGGTGTTCCTTCTGGAATTATGTTGTAAGTACTGAAAAAAATATGGAATTAAGATGCGTTCAGACACAAATTAATGTAATTTTGAAAAAAAGTATATATATATTAGGGATGCAACGGTACAGTTTTGCCACGGTTCGGTTTGTATCACGGTTTTTGGGCCACGGTAACGGTTCGGTTTCAATATATCAATATTATCTTGGCTCTAGCATACAGGAGGTTATATTTGCCTTTTCTATTTCAAATCAACAATGTGCTTCTACTTACAGAGAAAATATTAAATGCATAGCCAGACACAGATGAAGCAGAATCACAAAAATGTATTATAAGAAAAGAACACCATCATTGCCTTCTGTCATAAACAGGCAATATTATCCATAGTGAAGTGCAGCATAAAGTAATGTGTTATTCAATAAACTCACTCTTCTTCACACATTTAAAGAAAAATACTTAACTGTTATACTAGGGTGACCATATTTCCTGAACCTAAAACCGGGACACTTTGCGGGGGGTGGGGGGGTGCTGGCGGAACATTTCGGTTTGCGCGATTGACAACAGGGGACATTTCATAGTGGTTGGTGGAAACCGGGACACTTTAGCGTCCCGACAGGCTTTTGTCGGGACTCGGGACACGCAACTCAAAATCGGGACTGTCCCGGTAAAACCGGGACGTCTGGTCACCCTATGTTATACACCCTCAAAAAAGTAGTGAACAATTCTGACACACTTCGTACAGTTCAGGAACAATCTTACTGCTGAAATGCGTGCGGGAGGGGATATTGAAGCGATGATCGAGAACATTTATCATGTAGCGGAATCCAGTGCTTGCACACTGTGCTTTGTTTGCTGACGGTCTTTTTGCCTTGTTCGTCATACTCCACGCTGAAGCCAAAATGTTCCCATACAGCGGATTTATAAGATGACGGTGCCTCTTCAAATTTCCTTTTCTCTGTTTCGCGTCCACTCGCCATGATCATGCATGCAGCCGCCCGCCGGTAAAGTTTGTTTCTTCTCACATGGCTCCCCTTCATTTGCATTTCAACGCGCTTATTGGGTCTTGGGAAATTCAGTAAAATTCTGATTGGTTGTTGCAAGGTTGAGGAGAGGCAAGCTGAACAGTCTACGCGCGCGCAATAACCTTGTATTAAATAAAAAGTTTAATGTCGCGTATTACCGAAATATTGCGGTTTAGGTGAGTCTATCGAACCGAACAGGCCAAACCGAACGGTTCAATAACATATCGAAAACCGTTGCATCCCTAATATATATATATATATATATAATTTAGATTTTGACAGGGCCAGCAGAGAAGGCCCTGCTGGCCCTGACGGCCCACCACTGGAAACAATGATGGAACGGAGGAGCCGGCAACGCGACAACAAACGGCGGGAAGCAGTTCGTAGTGCTTCCTGTTTCCTGACGTCGCCATCTCGAATTCTCCCAGACAGGTATTCGTGTCTGCTTTGAAAGAGATATCCACCACATTTAGTCTTACAAAGGGATTAAAAGGGAGTAAAAACAAACTAGAGCAACACACACACACAAACACGTTCCCATGCCAATAGCTCTTTGTGAAATACTCGCGTATAGAGATACTCACAATAGCATCTCAGGCCTCATCTACCTGATGAGAGGCCCTTGGCATTGATATTCATAAACACGCTTCACACACACACACACAATTCATGAATATGGATGGCTGATATCAGCATACAAAGAGCCTTGTAATCTGCAGTCATTACAATGCAATCACACAAAAAACATATTGTGTTCTTTTGTTTGCGTGTGTGTGTGTATATGTGTGTTTTTGTGCGTGTGTGTGTGTGTGTGTGAGTGTGTGTTTGTAAGCATTCAGCTGGGCGAGGGTCTTTGTGTGAATGTGTGTATGTGTGCATATGGTATTGTGTTTTGTGTTACTGGCATCTATGTTCACCTTTGAAAAGTGCAATTGTATGCCGTACTGTTGTATTTATGTGTCTTCCGATAAGGCTCATAAATACAGTTGCACACAACTGTGTGTGTGTGTGTGTGTGTGTGTGTGTGTGTGTGTGTGTGTGTGTGTGTGTGTGTGTGTGTGTGTGTGCGTGTGTGCGTGCGTGTCAACAGCAATTATTTGCATTGTGTGGGCCAAGAAAGCGTTGGTGCATGTCACTATAAGCTATGAACCTAAACCATCCCTCAACCCCTCTCTCTCTCTCGCTGTCTCTCTCTCCCCCTCTCTCCCTCCCCCCCCCTCCCCCCCTCTGTGGTAAATCCTGCCTGCATCTGCAGATGACAAGTGACTGACTGCTGTCACAGCATGTCTCTCTGCGACCCTCCCTCTCTAACATTATTTCCCCATCCTCCCTCTCTGAGCAATATAGTACAAAGTTAACTGCTGAGTCTCAAAACATTTAAACATACACACACACACACACACACGGATGGACAGGCGAAAAGCGCACAAACACAAAAACTACCCAGCAGAATAAAGAAGGGATGAGTAGAAAGAAGGAGCAGAGGGCAGCAACAGATAAGAGAGAGGAGAGAGAGAGAGAGAGAGAGACTAAGACTCGAAAAGGAGGGATATGGATTGATCCAAAAAGTCAGGCATATTTGACATTTACATCATGCTGAATATATTCAACATTTCAGGCAGACGAAACGTAAGACGTAAGTTGCTTTGGAGAAAAGTGTCTGCTAAATGCCCTCAATGTAAATGTAAATGTAAATATAAGTTGAATAATGTTATTCTAGCACCACTTCCTGTTATTCAATAACTCCATCCACATATTTCATAATTATGAATCAAAAAGACACACAATTGTCACTTAGCTGATTTGTTTTCCCCGGCAGATTTAGTTTGGATCAAATGATAACCAGAGATGTGACATGATTCCAAGATAAACACCAATAAACATCATACAGTCCACAATGCTGGAGATGTAGTGGAAGAATATTTCACAGCCTGTATCCTGTATAAATTATATCCAATCTTTGACCTACAGTCTATAGCCTGAACGCCAGAGGTTGTGGTGTACTGTATCATCAACAACAAGCGTGACGGAAATTCAAAAAATATTATTTACAAGTTTCGCAAGACATCAAGGTGACAAGGTTCCTGTCTCAGATGCTGTGTGCGTACCACAGTGATTTATCGCATGGAAATCTTTCACAGTATCTCGATACAAAACAGTACAATAAAAGAAACAGGATACATATTCATAAACATATCTCCTTCTGATTTCCCTGGAGAATTCAAGCGCTCCCAGACTGATCTTACCACCGTTCCTCTGAAATCGTATCTCACTACACAATGGTAGCATGAAGTCATCATATTGGATATGACAGACCACAGAGCACCTGCTGGATTTAGACATTAAGATGAAACACTCTAGGCTCCGCCCACTACACCGTTCAAAATCAACCAATCACATAGGCCTATAGGCGAAATCCCAAAGAAATCCTATTAGTCCAACAGGAAATTAACCTTTTCTTGCTATTTTCCCAAGACATTCGGTGAAATAGACGCTCCCATTTCTTTCCATCCATACACGGAAAATACCACCTTAAAAAAAACACAAATGACATCACACATGCGGTAGTGACAGCAGACTCACGCATATTCTTCGGCAAGAATTTCAGTGACCATCACAAAACACCATCACTTCACAACTAGGAGGTCCCTTGAAACAGACACTCCCATCTATATCCACACACAGAAAATACCACCTTAAAAAAAAGTACCGCCAAACATCCCCAGAAAACCAGTGCCAGAGTCGACAGTAGTCTCCCACACACACACACACTCACAGTTACCACCGCCAAAAAAAAAAACACGCAAAGACCGCAAATGGTTATCACTACCGCACGTGAATGAGCGTGTACACATGAAAGAAAAAAAAAGCGAAAGTGGACGTACCGGTTTCCCGGGAGATCTGGACGAAGGCCTCCACGCCGCTCTCGCCGTAGTTCCCCTCGGAGGCCAGCGTGGACACGTAGTTCCAGCCCATCGCCGTGACGATATCCATCATGGCCTGCGCCTGGTAGGAGTCGGGCGGGACCACCCGCGAGAAGAAGTCGTAGCGCGTGTTGTCGCTCAGCTCGGGGGCCGTGGAGGCGTAGCTGATCTGGGGGATCTGGAGAAGAAGGAGAAGGAGGAGAAAGACAGTAACTGGTTAGAAACACATTGAATACAAAGTGTTCATTATTATTGATTGTTTTCATTGACGATTAATCTAACAAACATTTTTCCGATGAATCGATAATTCATTTAGTCTAGAAAATCTCATAAATAATAGCAAATGCCATCACAAGTTACCAAGAGTCTAAAGTGATACATTTGCATGCTTTATCTGACAAAGCAGCCAAGAAAAACTGAATTATTCATTTTATAATGATCCACGAACCAAAGATTTGAATTTCTGAAGCATCAAGCAGCAAAATGTTATGATATTTGTACTTGATAAATGACCTAAACGATTAATCGATTCTAAAAATGCAATTTGATTAATGGTCGATCGGCTAACCAACGAATCGACTAAACGCTGCGGCCCTAGTCTAGCAGCGGCCTCGCGAGAGGGGGAGGAGTCTAGTGGTAGTGCGGCGGTTAGGGTGATACACTCCCGGGAAATGTCTCCCCTCACGCGTTGTAGCGACCGCGGCTCGGGAGCTGATCTATCGGTCACCTGGTCGTCACAGGGGACATTACAGCTGGTCTAGTTTAACCACGGTTCCTGATCTATGGCTTGGAGGAACCCCGGATCCATAGAAATATGGCCGTGGCCATTTTGTGCACACTCAGCATTGGC